AAGCACGACAAACCATGTACTGGGATATTGGTGGCCGCCGTTCTAATTAAAATATCCTTACCACCTTTGGACAGAACACGTTGTTTCCATCCTTGAAGTTTTTTAATGAGCTTCTCTTCTATGAATTGGAAGGCCTCTCTCTTAGATCTAGAAATACTTGATGGGAGACCCAAGTAATAATCATGTTCCCCAATGCTACCTACTCCCAATTGATCACCCAGTATCCCAGCTAGATCTGGGTTCATATTGCGACTAAACAAGACAGCTGACTTTTGAAGATTTACTCGCTGGCCGCTCAGACCTTCATAAGCTTGAAAAAGGGAAAGAACTGTTGAACAAGACTGAGGAGAAGCCTCTAAAAAGAGATATGAATCATCCGCAAAGAAGATGTGGGAAACCATCGGACAAGAAGCACGGATTTTCACACCCTCCAGGTAGCCTACTGCTATAGTGTGTCTTATCATGGCTGAGAAGCCTTCTGTGCAGATGGCAAAAAGCAGTGAAGACAGAGGGTCTCCTTGCCTAAGTCCTCTTGACGGGCGAAAGTAGCTAGAGGGGTTTCCGTTCACCATAACTGAGTAGGAAACTGTTGTGACACATTCTTTTACCCATGATATAAACTTTTGATCAAAGCCAAGTTCTTTCATAACTCCAAAGAGGAATGGCCATTCCACACGATCATAGGCCTTTTCTATGCCATTTCGGTCATAAATAATAACTCCCTTTGCTATGGTGCGTGTCCTCGTTTTGTGCTAATAGGGGTTTATCTTTCTTATAATGTCACAAGTCGGCGCTCACAATTAGAAGAGCTTAACGGGTTTTGTTCAAGGCTATCAGATCCATTTCTAATGATTGGTGACGTGAACTGCTCCCTATCTCCGTCAGAAAAATCAGGCGGAGCCCCCTGGCGAATGGATAAAGCCCGGCCTCTTTGGGACTTTCTAAACAATTTGGGCTTGATAGAAGTGAGGTTTCAAGGGCCAAAATTTACTTGGACTAACCGAGGTAGAAATGGTATACTAATCGAACAGAAAATTGACAGAGCATTTGTTTCCACAAACTGGGCGTGTACCTGGCCGGACTCCTGCCTTTACCATCTTTCAGATAAAGGGTCAGATCACAGACTCCTGTGCCTCATGACTTCACCGGAAATGTCTAGAGCTAAACGTCTATTCCATTTTGACATAAGATGGATTCGAAATCATGAAACAAGACTCTTAATTGAGTACGTCTGGGATGCACCCATAACTGGGTCCCATCAATTTTGTCTATTCTATAGATTGCTCAGAGTGCGTCACACCCTAGTTGATTGGTGCAAAGGGGGGACCTCTAACTCAGCCAGACTTATAAAAGACCTCAACCTAGCTCTCGATGATGCACGCAAAAATAGCATGGTGAATTGGACTCTGGTACGGTCCCTAGAAGAAAGACTCGAAGTTCAATTTAGAATGGAAGAAATCTATTGGAGACAAAAGTCGCGAGTCAACTGGCTAACAGAAGGGGATCGTAATACTCCATACTTCCATATGATAACGTCAATTAGACGTCAGGCCAACTTTATATGGGGACTAGAAGATTCTAGTGGTCAATGGCACACAGATGGGGACCGGAAGCTGAGCATCGCAGTAGATTTCTATCAGACCTTGTTTAGCTCCCAGCTTAATGAAGGTATTGACCTGTCCAATCTGCCATTTGAAAGTTTAGTCTCTGTAGAACAAAATCAATATCTCGTCATGAGCATCACTCCAGAAGAGGTAAAAGAAGTGGTTTTCAGTATGGGGAAAACTCAGGCTCCTGGGCCAGATGGATTCACAGCAGGGTTCTACCAAGCTTACTGGGATATAGTAGGCAAAGATGTCACCCAAGCAGTTCTAGCTTTCTTTCACTCTGGGCATCTATTACGTTCAATTAATAGAACTTGGATATCGCTTGTTCCAAAAACTGCTGAAGTGAGATCCATGAAGCATCTCAGGCCTATTAGCCTCTGTCAAGTAATTTACAAAGTCATAGCCAAAATCCTGGCTAATAGGCTAAGCCGGGTTCTACCCAGCATAATTTCTCAAACCCAGAATGGCTTTATCAAAGGTCGCCAAATTTCCGACAATATTTTAATTAGCCATGAGATAACTCATCATCTCCGAACAATGACCTCAGGTCAAAAAACATGGATGGCCCTTAAGCTAGACATGGAAAACAATGTCAAACTTGATAACATCAAATCTCTATAGCGGCATCACCATTAAATGAAAACCTTTATTTTGTACCTTCAAAATTTCTCTCAAATCAATATAATTATGCTCGAATATCTATAAAACTATAACAATGTCCAAATTGACCTTCATAACCTAGTACTCTCCCGTCTTCATCTTTCCCTCTGACCCCAAAATTCTCAAAGTTCCCAACATTGAAAATTCTTTTACTCCTCATATTTAACCCTAACAATTCATATCAACGGTAAAATTAACCATCCTTTTCCAATCAACTTCTTTTAGCCGATCCCAAGTATATAATTTGGTTGATTCACATATCTGTAAAGAATAAGATTTTTTATAGGCATATTAAATTAACATATTTCGACCGCTCATTCAGATATACAATATCATCGAGATCTATTACCATCTCCAATAGATAATGTTGATGAGTAATAGAAAAATACAATGTAATTTGTAACAGAGAATTTGTTTGTCTTTCCATCTTTACTCTCTAGATCTCAATTACATAGATGCCATTTTCCCGATAAAATAACGAATCTCTGTCATATGGATGCACGTTGTTCATTGTTTTATTACTTATCAACGTTGTCTATGATTTTTGGCTTCAGAAGTTTATACTTTTTGTGAGATGAATTCGACAGTAAGAGGAGTCTGATTGGGGAAAAGAAGCTTGATGTCAACCTTCTCAGTGATAATGGAGTAAAGAGAAATTGAGAAAGGGGCATGGATTTAGGCTGCCGATAGGAAGACTGGTCGGAGAAGGAGGTTGAATTTGTGAGAAATTTTAGGGACAGAGTAGGGATGGGTAATGAGTTGGCCTAGAGTTACACCCACCTAAATTAACCCGGTCATAACCCACTCAATACATGTTTGGGTGCGTGTGTGTCATTTTCTTTGTGGTCCATAAAATTTGGGTGGTGACGGATGGATCATTGGCCTGCCAAAGCACCTGATATATCATGTTACTAATATATATTATATGATAATATACATATATTCTAATCCCAAAATATTAATCATGATTGAAATGATAATTAATTATTATAAATTTGCTTAACTGATTACATAAATTATAAAGTAATTATTTAAAAATACAATACATATTCTTAAAGATTATTGAATTTCTCGCGCCAAAAATTGATTATTAATTTTCTCGAATTTTTAATTTTTTATTATATTCGATAAGCTTATTATAAATTTGTATGGCTCATAGTTATCTTTTTTATAAATATTTTCTAACTGACCAAATCGTCAAACCCACCAACCTTCCAACATTAGCAATACGACCCACTCACTTAACAACAAATGAATAGGTTGAGTGATGTTTTCATCACACACATCAAAAGAATGAGTTGATGGATTTTGGGGAAAACCCCTCAACAGAAGTACACAACCATCGTTCATATATATGGTAATGGGTCATCTGAACCAATTGTCAATATCTATTTTAGTATTGGTGTCGAATTCAAATGATCTATATGCACTTTTAATGGGTTTTGATTGGGTTTGAATTGTGTTCTATTTGGCTCAATTCATTTGGGTTAGATACAAATGGATCTACCTGAGTCTAGATGATTGTATAAAAAAATTATATCTATCGTTTCATTAACTACTTTCAACCCAATTATATACGTTTAATGTAGGTGTTTCTACTTTTCTATTTGTCTCATAACAAAAAAAATTACATTATAATCAGGTGTCCATTTTCTTTTGAACTTCCAATATTAATGATAATTTGGACCAAAACTAAAGAATTGAATATTAATATACTCCAAAAATAGAATTACTCAAACATGATTTAGACTCTAATGAATTGAGTTTGAGCGACAGCAGAATATTATGTAGTTTTTGTCATAATAATTGATTACGGATGGGGGATTAGAGACTAAATGCCAAAAAAAACCTACAATTTAAATATTGGCAAAACAAATCGTTTGGGTTAGTGAGTGGCACAACAAAAAGAAGAAACAACGTAAAAGCCAAAACAATAACAATAAATAAAAAACAATAAAATAGAACACAACGTTTTGGGCTAAAACTGATAAGGGTGTTTTGACAAAACTGTCCCTCCGAAAATTAATCCTGTGGCTCCATTTTTGAAATGCAGCAAAAGCCACCCATGAAAATGTATTATATATAGTGTAGATGTAGATTTGGTTTTCTGATTGGGCCTTAATTTCATCAAGGGATTTGATGTTCATTGTTTTTGTTGCTGTGGGGAAGGCTGGAGATGGAGAAGCAGATAATTCAACTACTACTACTACTCAATTGAGAAGATCAATAAGAGTTGCTGGCTGTGGGATTACGTCAATCTTGATCAACAAAAGGGAAGATAACCTTAACGCGAAACACTTGTCTTGGTTAGTTAAAGTTTCTTCAGTAGTAGCTTGCTTTTGTCTACTGAATTAGTAGTAGTAGCCTCCGGATCAAGCAATCCCAAGAGCTGCCATTGAAATAGTGATCATAGTATCATACATAGACACATCCGATTGCCCATTATTGTACATTTTTTAGAATCAGTTCATAGATAGAGATAAATGAGTGCCCCAGCTAATTGCATCCAATTGTACACTTTTGAGTATGAAGACATATATAGAGATACATGTTTCCCCTGTTCATTCACTGATGAGTTTGATATATAGGTTGGGAGTAACAGGGTCTTGAATTGAACCCATTTAGTGAAAACTCAAATGGCGCCCAATTGGTTTCCTAAAGTATCTCTCTAGTTTGTCTTTACCAGTTGAATGCAAAAGTTCTCTCCCTATATGTATATCCAGACATTGAAGAAGTGGAAATTATGTTCTTACGATTCACAGTTACAACTAAAACCAGTATGCTTGCTCTACAATCATCTTTACACCCACTGTAGAGGAAAGAAAATGGGAAAGGTGTAAAAGAGAGGGGGGAAAAATAAGAATCCTCCAGTTGGTGAGATCCAATTATAAATATCAGATCTTCTCCACAACTCTGCTAGCAACTCGACAACTATAAACATCAGATCTTCCTTTGCACACAAATTGGACCAATTGGAGGCCTGCTGAGGAAAATCCCCTTTCTAGCAGGGAAACTTGAAATAGACGAAACCAGCTTGTTGTGATTGTTCTTCGAGATCACAGACTTGTGAAGAGTGTAAGGTCTGCAAGCATCCAATCCATTAGCATAGCTCTTTGATCCTTTCAACATCTTTCTCCTGCTGTTGCTGCTATTATAAGGGTTCTCCTTCTTCACAAGATCCTCTATGCTCACAACCCTTGTCAGAGATGTGAAAGATTGGGACTTTCCTTGGTAGAACTTTGAGAGTCCCCTCCTAAACACAAAAACAGGAAAAAACCCATTTAGCATCTTCACCATGAGAGAACTCTACAAAGAGAGGAACTTTCACAAAAATTAACCAGTAAGAGAGAGTAAGATAAGCTTGTTACTTACTTAATGGGAAGAGTGGCCATTAGCTCTGAAAGCTCAAACATTGAACCATGACTCCCCAGATTAGAAACTGAGGATGAAGATGATGAGCATGATGAAGTTGCATCATCAATCAAATCCGAAGAGGCGGAGCAAGAAGATGATAATGACTCTGATCCAATGGTGGATGAGCTTGAGTTATCAAGGGATGATGTTGAAGAGCCTGTGTTGTAACTAAGACCATTATAATCATCATTAGTTGGATGATCATTCTTAGGATGATGGTGAAGATTTGAAGATGGATGCAGCTGCTGGAACAACATCATTTGATCTTGATTATTATTAAGACAATCAGTGGCACCCATTTCTCTGTGTGTCTTCTGTTCTTGGTTTCCTCAGCCCAAATTGAAGAAGTAAAGGAGGGGAAGGGAGAATTTCTTGGAAAGTGATGAGAGAAAGAAAGGCAGATGAGACAAATAATTATACTCTTTAGGGATCTTTCTATTGTTTATATATATGCCTTTGTGTCTCCAACTTGATATAAATAAAAAAATGGAAGAAAAAAAAAAAAAAAAAAGTGGATATAGCAGCCTACGAGGATTAGGTATTTAGGTTGTCACCTTTTAAGGATAAAAAGGAGTCTTATCATCAACAAAGGGGTGACATGGAATTTCCATGTTTCCATCTTGCGTAATTTAAGGCCAAGGGATCTTTTGTTTGACTTGTGGTGGGGGTGAAATCAGAATTTGATTGGATGAGAGAAGAAAAAATGGGAATTTGCTCTTGATATATATTGAAAAAACAGAAAAGTGACCATTTTAGTTAGTGTGCAATGCATAAACGAATTTTTTAATGACGTTATTATTATAATTAATGTTAAATCAATTTATTAAATACTGGGATCATATTATGTAATAAAAGGTTGTGGATCGGGGGACATGTGAGATGAATGAAGTAGCTAGATCTAAGTGAGTCCAAGGGCGAAGGGAAAAAGGAGAGGGAAGAGCTCTAGCGAGAAGGATTCTATTCGAGCATATTTAACTAATTAAGATGTGTTTAAACAGAAACAACAGTCACCGAAACCGATTGACTCGATTCTTTTTCTTGTCGGGCGATACCATACAACTCAAGCAAGCGCACCCACAACTCATTGTGATCTTTTCGATAAATGATTGTGCAGCCAAAAGAACTAATCTAGGGGGACTAAATGCTGGTTGTGCAAATATATTACGTCATTTGTCACATTTCAATTTACAACCAAATATGTATTTGTTCCAACTACAATGGAAGCCTCATCTAGAGACTCAATGATGTAACGATTAATAGAACTCTTATAAGGTTTAAAGTAAAATTTTATAGATAGGAATTTATTTCTTCTTTTTTTTCCTTCTCATTAAAGTGAAATCGTATTTTTCAAAAGTTAAAACTTAATATGGAAAAAGATTTAAACCTAAAACTGTATTTGGACAAGTTCAACACTCAATATATGTTTTTAACTTGACGTACAAGTACAACCTAATCCACGATTTCCCTGTCCCCTTTGAATATCACCCCCACACTTAGTCCACAGATTCTAGCGTTTCTGTGGGGAACACAAAAAGTCAAAAGATGATAGAAACAAAGATTTACATTACATGAAGCAAACATGGAAAATGTTATGCAGGTAGAAAGAACTGGTGGTGGCCTGGTGGGGAAAGGTCATATGGCCACCATCTTGACTTATTATTTGTTTATTATCCTTTTCTCTGTTGGCTGCCTTATCCTAGAGATTCGTTGTTATCTTTGTGTCTCCTCTAACATGGTTTGATGGGTTTGTTTGGCCATGCCTACTTACAACTAGAAAAAAAGATAAGCACAAAGGGCTTTGGAAACCTATCCATTCATCCATATATAATTGTACACTATATCATACCCTATACAATTCTATCAATCTCTAGCCCCCTACTTTATTTTTCTCTTTTTAATGCACTGGATAATGTCTTTTATAGAAAGTATAAAATATTTAAACTAGATAGTATGAGTGGTAAGGAGTGGTAGAAAATATTAAGAGTAGTTTGCTTGCCGAATTCAAATGAAAAACTAGGAACTTAAATTTCGAATTTGTTGGATTTTAATTTTTTTGGTTAAATCTTGCTGCCATGCTCCAAACCCAGAGGTTCAATCAATTTGTATTTGCGAAGCTCGTAAGGAGAACCCAAAGAAGCATTACAGGGGAGTGTAGCAGAGTCACTAGGAATCTTCATCTTCTTCCCTTGAATCAAACATGTAATTCTTGGATTCGAGTTGGGATTGATCTCTTTCGTTTACCCGGAAACATATTCGAGTTGGGTGATGTTTATCCCTCAATTCAACCTCATAAGATTCGCCACTTTCATTTTGGGGGTTTGTTGGGAGATGTAACTTTCGGGCTTATGGTTTTCATTTTCTTGGTTTTAATTTTCATCGACATCTCCCAAGGAAGGAGGACGAATTGATGTAAAGGATAGTGAAAATAGTACAAAGACAAATAAAATGAGTTAGTAAGGTGATTTACTTTTTAAAGCCATAAATCCATCATTCATGGTCAAGTGTACTATGCTAAGAATAGATTCTTCAAATCCATAACATAACAAATTTATTATAAATCCAAAGATTTCTTTTGGTCAAAATTTTATTTTTCAAATCCAAAACAACAAACAATTCTTAAGAGTATAACAATGTAATTATAAATTCGAAGGTTTCTTTTGGTCAAAATTTTATTTTTTAATTCCAAAGCAACAAAAAATTCCTAAGTGTTTAACAATGTAATAATCATCTTAAGTTCAGATTTTGGGTTAACAATTACCTTATAAGACAAAATAGAATATAATATGTATTGGTCAAATCTAGACCTCAAAATAATTATCTTCACCATCTTATTTGATAAGATTATCTTGGTCATTCAGATATGTGGAGGGAAGACCAAAAGTGTACGAGGATATGTGGAGGGAAGGCCAAAAGTGCATTGGATGTCATGGAGACGCTTGTGTCGCAGTAAGCATGAGGGGGGCTTGAGCTTTCAACCATTTGAGCTTTCAATCAAGTTATGTTTGCAAAGATAGCGTGGTGGATTCACACAAAGCCTGATCCTCTCCTAGTGTGGATTTATAAGGGAAATTATTTCCGACAAAGTTCAATTTTTTCGGCCATTCTTCGGTCTCGGCCATCGTTGAGTTGGCAGAAAGTCCTTTCGGGTATGGCTTGGTAGGTAGGATCGGGTGCTTCGATTCCGCTTCATTTTGGAGGGTGGACCTTCCATTTATCCGACACAACTAGAGGTTTTACCTAGTGCACCGATGACTGGTACAAAGTTGTTTGAATCGTTGATAGACTAAGATAGGGGTGAATGGTCTCGGGGCTGCCTAGAGTCAGTCTTTCTTTTAAAACAATGAAAGCAATACAAGCTATCCCGTTTTCGAGGGAGGCACATGCTGCTCGGCTGGTTTGGCGAGAGGACCCCTCGGGGTGTTTAAGGTTACATCTAGCTATAGGCTTTCAGAGCGTCTAGCTAGAAAGTAAGGACGGTGGAAACAGGAATGTAGCTCTATTGATCGTGGCCTCTGGATTAAGCTATGGAATCTCCCAGTTTAGTCAAACTTATTATTTTTTTTTGGGAATTGCTTCAGCGAATTCTACCTACGATGGAGGCTATGCTATTATGGGTTGTACATGTGCTGGCTCACTGTCCAATGTGTTGGGCGGAACAGGAAACTATTGAACATATTTTCCTTGATTGTCTGGTGGCACGGGTGTTGTGCGCTGCCGGAGGGTTGTTGGGGGATTTGGCGTCTATGCCTCAAGGATGCTTCAATATTTTTTCCGTCGTCTGTTGGCGAGGGATTCATTGGATCAAAGAGTGATAAGGATAATTTGCATTCTTTGGAGGGTGTGGAAAGCAAGAAACTTAGTGGTGTTTAAAGGGTAGCAGGTTCTCTTGGGGATCCTATAACAACAATTTTTAAGGCGAGTCAACTAGTGAATTAGGATCTCTGGGAAGGCTGGGAATGGTATCAATATGTTGTCACTAGCGAGTAGTCAAGCGAGTGAGGATGGGTCTTTTGGTGGCATGATTTGCTCCTTTTGATGGAGTGTTATGTGCAAATTCCCATGGCACGGGTGGTATGGTGATTAGAGATGACTCGGGGGCTGTCCTGGTGGCACGAGGTATGATCCATAAAGGAGTAATCTACCCTATGCTTGTGGAATTAGTGACGCCTTCGCGATGCAGTTCTGTGGTGTCGAATGATGGGAATGGATAAGGTGGTGTTGGTTGGTGACGCGAATGTGGTTATTGACAAGGTGAAGACTGGAATCACGTGTGATGCGATGGGTGGAGTGAATTCAACGAGGATCATCAGCTTTTCGTTGCCCATCAGAATTTTACGGTTAGGTTTGTAGGTAGGCAGAACAATAGGGTGACCCATATGGCGACTCCTTTCTTTGTTTCCTACTGGTTGTAATGGGTTTGACTTTTGCTCTTGGCTATTATCGGAAGCTGGGGGTGTGTAACTATTTGTTCTTGTGAATGCAAGTAATCTTTTCGTAAAAAAATTTATCTACGCCATTCTTATCATCCTTATTTGTTACCTCGATAAAGTATAAGTGTAGGTCATCTTTAAATTGAAGTTGGTTACTTGTAATTCTTTTTCATTCTCGAATTAGTGCAAAGAAAAGAAAAGTCAGTTAGCTTGACGAATATCGTGCTTCCTTAACTTCAATTATACATAAAAAAGAAAAAAAAGAGTCCTCAAGTTTCGGAGATCTCATCTTCAGTATGAGGGTATCTTGAAAACTACTTGGGATCTTTCAGATCAGGGTGGGGATCCTTTCTGTCTGTTGTCTGAGAGACTGACGAGATTGAAGAAGGGGATCATTACTCTCAAATGTACTCAGTACTCAAATATTTTTGCTTGGACCAAGGAGGTTGAGGAGTTACTTGCAGCAGCTCAGCAATCTGTCTTTTGGACCCGTTCCCCAAAAAAACTGGTTTGGAAAAGAAACTGGCTCTTAATTGTTTTCAATTGCAGAAAGTAGAGGAGAGTTTCTATAGAGAAAAGTTTAGAGTGCAATGTGTGGTTGAAGGTGATCTCAATACGAAGTATTTTCATAACTATGTTAAGAATAGAACTAAAAAGCATACTATTGATCGACTTATCTCTGATAAGGGAGTTGTTGTGGAGGATGTTGAGCAAATGGGAGAGCTGGCAGTTTCTTTTTGAAAGGGTCTATTTGGTTCTTCTAGTCCAGAAGTTATGGAGAGGCCCCTTAGTTTTTTCACTGACCCCCTCATGCTTAAGCTAGATCCTAAAAACTCTTCTATCTTGTGCAAAGAAGTTACTTGAGAGGAGATCAATGCTATTTTTAGTTATATGGCTCCGAAAAGGCCCCTGGTCCAGATGGATAACCTGCTGACTTCTATAATGCTGAATGGGGAGTTGTAGGAAAAGCTGTGAAGGATGTTGTCTTGTGGTTTTTTCAAACTAAGTCTTTACCAC